TACAACATGAGGACCCTTCGGACGAAGAAGCAATAGATACCCTAGTACGCTAGCATAATATAGTAGTCTCCATTTTCCATTATCCCTATATTACCCTAAAATATACCCTATTACAATATAGTAGTTTCCCTTTCCTTTTCCATTATCCCTATGTAACCCTAATATATACCCTATTACAATATAGTAGTTTCCATTTTCTTTTTCATTATCCCTACATAACCCCTATAAAGCGCCTTATCCTCCAGGAAGATCTCCGAGATCGCGTTGAGCTCCGAGCATTTGTAGTCCTCGAAGAAGAACCTGAGTAGTGTTTTTTGGCGGTTGAACCTAGTAAGGTTATATTCCTTATATATATATATACACCCCAAAAGGAGGATAGAATCTTACTCTATATTGAGTACCATAGTATCCCCAAATTAAATACTACTCACCTGGTTCCCAAAAGGCAAGGGCACCCTGAGCAGATGGTTTTGAGCGTCGTGATAATAATCCCTAAGGGTCCAAGTACCCAATACTTAGGTACTTGGGTATTGGGTAATAGCAATATTAGTACAGGTTTTGGGTAAGTATATGATTATGGGGTACTTGGACCCTTAGTACTAACGCTAATGGTAAGAATGAGTGCAATAATCAGCGCTGGATACTGAAGAGATGACCCCATGAAACGTCAGTCGAGCCACTTAAAGGGCACGCGCGACTTGAACCCAGGATTGGCTTCGAAGAAGGTCTCCATTTCCTTATCGTAGCCTCCCAGGACTCTGAAGGTTGCGAAGCCGTTCTTCAGACTGGTGATAGAAACTGACTGCCAATTAGAACATGCGCTTGTAGGGACATCACGTTGCGATGCAAAGCTTGGAACATATCTAAAGAAAGCGATTGCTAGTAGTTGCAATACGCGGCAGTTCTGCAAGCCCTTTCCGAGGCTTGAAAAATGGATCTGCTTGCAAAACAAGCTGGACAAGAGGGTGCCAGGAACCGCCACTTCTCCCACTAGAGCATGATTATTTCTATGTAGAACATTTCCATATGGAAGACCGGGAGAACAGCACAACAAAGGCTTTCTTCAAAACAAATGTTCAACGTGAAGTTATTCGCCCAGTAAAAGCAGAATCCTACTTGGACTTATTCTAAGTTCGCAATATGGTTCACGTGCTCGCGGAGAGCTCCAATCCCTCATGGAGCTGGGGTGGCGGAGTGGCTTGAGTCAGCAGGCCTTTCTTGGGTAATGCTGGGAGAAGTTGTATAGGGTCTAGGGTTTAGGGTCTAACTTGATGGCTACAACAATCCTTTAGCTCTTCTTCTCACTCATGTACCAATCCTGCCACACATATTATGATGAGGAATGCTATGAGAGACGCCAAACCACAACAATCTGTACGCTTCGTCGCGCCCCGGCCTGCGAAAATGGCAATGACCTCCGGTTGAAGGAGTTCGGGGTTCAGATAGTTCCGTGACACTCACCCGTCCCTCAGACAGCTACTTGATCCATAGCGCTCGCGCCCTCCGCATTTGGGGTCGGAGTTTGCAGTAGGTTCTGGATCGGATTTTGGATCTGGTCCGGATTGCATGAACCCCAACAAAAGTAGGTAAAATAGTAGCCCAACACGCCTAAAAACAGTCCCAAAGGCCATTTTATTCTACATACTTTTAGGGTTCAGGTATGCACTTGATTGCAAGCCAGTTCATCCTCGAAGGCCTCCTAAGTTTCAATAATGAACCCATTGGGGTAATTTTAGGGTTATATTGGCGTTATATGGGGATAATGGCAAAGGAAACTATATAGGGATAATGGAAAAAAGAAATGGAAACTAGTTTATTATATTAGGGTATATATCAAGGTTATACTGGGATAATGGAAAAAGAAATGGAAACTACCTTTAGAGTTTATATAGGGTTTAGGGTCCCGAGCCACACAGGGTTCTAAAGGTGGGATATGAGCCTGAGCATCTCTAGACTGTCTGGAGAGTCCAGCCAAGAAAGGCTGACTTTATGAATCCAAGTAGGTACCTAGACCCCTAAACCCCCTAGTAAGCCCTATATAACCCCTATAGTAGTCCCCCTATATAACCCCTATGGTAGTCCCCAAGTAAGTACCCTTAACCCTATAGTAAACCCTAACCCCACACCCTATAATAACCCCTAAGCCCCAACCCTATAATAACCCCTAACCTAAACCCTAAACCCTATAATAGCCCCCTAAGCACTGAACCGATAATAACCCCTACACCCTGAAATAAACCCGAAACCCTACATGGGTAGAGGCTTCCCGTGTTTCAATTGCCTTGCTTTGGGGGAACTTGGCCCCTTGGGCTTCCTGGGATATTGTAGAAACTGCTATGGGTTTAGAGTTTAGGGTGGAGAGCTTCGGGATTTAGATAGTAATTAGGGTTTAAGAACTTAGGATTTGGGGCTCAGGGTTTAGGGATTCAGGTTTAGGGATTCAGGGTTTAGGGATCTAGGGTGTAGGGTACAGTAGGGATATAGTTGGATTGCTACAGGATGTCGTCATAGATGGCCAAACTCCAGAGTCACTCAAACTTAACCCCCAGCGTGGCAAGCTACAGGCCTAACATGCGCCCCATCACCCTAAGGGTCCACGCGCCCAATTACTTGGGTATTCGGTAATAGAAAGGATAGTACATGTGTTGGGGAAGTATATGATTATTGGGTACTTGGACCCTTGGGGTCAAACCCAAACAGAACAACAGCTTGTGCAGAACGGTGGACGGTCAGCAGCATGCCTAGTCTTGAGCAAACTTGAAATTGAGAGCAACTGAAGAGCATCCTAAACCCTGAACCCTAAACCAACTCCAAAACTATAGGCCCCTTTCGACATGGGAGCGTTCACCTGTTTAAATGTTAGTGCTGTCAGCCATGTTAGCACGGACATCACCACACTCATGGCCATGGCTGTAGTACGTTGCCAGTGGCAGCGTCATTCACCCTAAACCTTAAACCCTTAACCCGAAACATGTGCTTCTAATACCTTACATGGCCATGATCGCTTGGAAATTACCCCTAAGGGTTCAAGTACCCAATAATCACATGCCAAAACCTGTACTACAATTGCCATTACCAATACCCAAGTACCTAATTATTGGGTACTTAGACCCTTAGGCTTGTTGTAACTTCTATTCTTAATTGTACCAGTAATTATTCCTATTCTCATTACTATTGTTGTTTTTCCTGCTATTGGCACTATTATGGCTTTGTTATTACTACTAGAATGTGCCTTGTCCCTCTTGTCTTCGATCTCCTTGATCAAGGTGTCCACTGCCTCTTGACCGAACGCATCCTTACCCTCCTGGCAGGCGTTCAGTCTTGCGTTGTTGGGGGCAATATATGGGTAATATAGGCATAATGGAAAAGGGAATGGAAAGTACCATATTATAATAGGGTATGCATTAAGGCTATATAGGGATAATGGAAAACAAAACGGAAACTACTATATTATGATAGGGTATATATCAGGGTTGTATAGAGATAATGGAAAAGAAAAAGCAAACTACTATATCATAATGAGTATATATCAGGGCTATATAGGGATAATGAAAAAGAAAGAAGGAAACAACTATATTATAATAGG